AGATGGCAGACAATGGCTAAATGTGGCATGTGGATTTTGGTTTTTTGACAGCTGGTATAAAGCAAAACACTCTCAATCCAGTTACAGATGTAGCATTTAACCTGTCAAAGACCAAACATGCAACACAGCCCTTTAGCATGTGTGACAAACACACAAACTGAAGGATGCCACAAGAAACAGCAGACAAGGAAGCATGAAATGCTGTTGGGTGCATTTCTTCAATATAAATAAAGTTTTCCAAAATCTCAGTTTCGTGATTCAGCATTTCTGTTGGCAATAAATTAGAGTAACAATTTAACAGTAAGCTAACAACAGGTGTGAGGGATACGCTGGTAAATTTAGGGTGAAGAGAGAGGGGAAGTCCCTTGAAGTACTACTAATAAAAAACCCCTAGTAATTATAGTTTGTATTTATTTGGGGAGGAGGGATAGCTCAGTGGTTTGAGCAGTGGCCTGCTAAACCCAGCGTTGTGAGTTGAGGGGGCCACTTGGGGATCTGGGGCAAAATCAGTACTTGGTCCTGCTAGTGAAGGCAGGGGGCTGGGCTGGACTCAACTCAATGACCTTTCAAGGTCCCTTCCAGTTCTAGGAGATGGGATATCTCCATTAATTTATTTTTATAGTATCTTTCATCAACAGTATCTCAAACTACTTCACAAGCATTAATTAATTAAGCCTCACAACACCTTTGTGAGGCAGATAGGATTCTACTTATTTTACAGATGGAAAAGCTAAGCCATACTGAAGAAAATCATTTGCCTAAGGCTTGGTACAGAGTCAGTAGGAATACAGTTCTGCATATCAGTTCCAGGCGCATACTGCTAGACAGTAGTGAGGTGAAACCAATGCACATCTTTAATGCATGCGTAAACACTATGGCCAAAACTGTCCTTTGATTTTGGTTGCCTCAGGTTTTGGGTGCCCAAATTGAGATGAGGTCAATGAGAGCTGCCAAGGGCTCAGCCCTTCTGAAAATCATGTCAAAAGGTGTCTCAAGTTGACCACTCAAAAATGAAGGCACCAAAGTTATAGGCAAAATCTGAAATGTTTGGCTAATGAGAGACATATAGTGCTCTCTGAGTGGAAATTTGGCCCTGTAAAATCAGTGGCAAAATTCCCATTGACTTCAATGCAGCCAGAATGTCACCATTTTTGTACATACATGGCTGTCCTTGATCCAAATTATAATCTTGGGTGCCATCATTTTTGAGGCATCTTTTGGACTTGATATTCAGAAGTGCTGCAGCTCTCATTGACACACATACTATATAGTGTGCGTGTTTGTGTGTCGGACTGCTTCTAGTAGTATAACCTAGGAAACAGAGCCCACAGGAGGGAAAATTCTACAACAGGCCCACAATCTCTACTGTAGGGCTCAAAGCCAGCCAGAGCCAGTCTAGAAGGCACTGACTGGAGAAGGGGCATGCCCAATGCACCTTACAGATGTGCTGAAAGTGCCCAATCAGCCCCATCTTCTCATACAGGGAGCCCTGGAAACAGTTTAAAGTGTAGTTTCGCCCTGAAAAAATGACTATGTGAGATCATCACCTTCTTCTTCAGCTATTCTGCTCCCTGTGTTTAATGTCACATCTGCTTATTCCAGTGAAAAAATAAATGTTTACTACCAGCACTGCAGAAACAACACTGCTGATCTAGATTCTTTTTAGACTTGCCCACCATCAGCAGAACTGTTGACTAAATTCCTATAGTGACCCTGTTGACATACTATAAAAGGTACCTAGTTCACACTGATGTAGTCCCGTTTCATACAGGACTACATTAATGTGCATTAGGTTCCTTTTAGAGTGCACCAGCAGGTCTACATGAGGCAGTTAGCGCAGAACATATTAGAATACTCTACAATTCAGACCCTCCTAGTTCATGTAGACAAGCTCCCAGACTGAGTTTGCAGAGCTGGCAGTTAAATACTTGTAAACTGAGCAAATTTGTTCTGGAGTCATTAGGATGAATAAACATGGAACCTTGTCAGTGCTATTTATAATAAGTCATTTTCAGAGTAGAACCACATTTGAAAGCTGCTCTCCCCCATTGTCTTACATTAAAGCAAATCCCTTGTATGAATCCCCCCGCAGTCAACTGTGGTTTTAGCAGTGATCCATCATGTAGTTGCATTATTTATTTATTTAGTTGGAAATTCATACAACAGCATTTTGTTAGTCACTGGAAGTGGCCTCTGATTAATGCCCTTCATATTAAAAGGTGTACGCTTTGGAATTTCATGTGATTGACTGTACACAATGCATATAAAATGCCTTTTCATTATTGCCACGTGAATTGCATAAAAGGACAAGACCTGGGAATTAACACAATTCAGAAAGGGATTCCCAGCATTTTAAAGTGATCATAACAAACAACCAAAGTGCAAATGTTTCTAGCCCATAATTCAGCAGTTATTCCTGGAATACATTTTTTCTCCTTTTAAGCCTTTTTGTACTGCAACATGATCATACTATACACACTGTACCTACCAGTATCACACGTCATGAGGGAGAAAATCCCTATAAACAATGAAAGAAAATGGATTAGTTGTTTTGTAGTATTGAGAATTGCCTGAATCCTAAACCAAATATTCAGGTTTCTTTGCTATGATCCAAATTCTTCTCTAATTTTCACAGATTCATAGATTTTTAAGGCCAGAAGGGACCATAATGATCATCTAGTCAGACCTTCTGCATAACACAGGTTGGAGAACCTCACCCAGTAATTTCTGCATCAAGCCCATAACATGTTTGAGCTACAGCATCTCTTTTAGAAAGACATCCAAGTCTTGTGTCAAGGACGTACACATTTAAAGATTGTATATTGTTAGTTAAACAGAGATGGGCCTGAACCAAAACCTGGTTCAGAATATGCCAGAATTTTGGGGATTTTTGGTCCCATTCTAAACTTTGTGTCTGGGACCCAGCGCTACTGAACTAAAACTCCCAATCCGAACCTTCATGTCTCAAACTTTGGGAGGGGTCTGATTTGGATCCAAATTTTGTACTTCTTGTCTATCTCTTTTAAAAAGGAAATATGGCACAATATGCTCACATTAACTCTTCTCTAGTATCCTAAAATTCAAATGATTCAACCATATATAAAAGCTGTGGATAAATTTAATGGAACGTCAATTTAGAAAGCTCTGTCAAATTGAAGATTAAAGGTAGAACTGGCTAAAACTCTAAATCTCTGTTCTGTGGGAAATTCAGATATTTTGTTTTGGTGAGTGCTTCATTTCAATTTTATCTTTTTGACTATATTATCTATTATATTATAAAAGTCAAAATGATAAAGTTAAAACAAAATGCTTCAACCTTATAGAATCAAAAAGTTTCAATAATTTGTCATTGAAAATTTTGACTAAATCAAAAACAACTGCTAAATGTTTTGATTTTGTCAAATTGGTATTTTTCTGTGGAAAACTCTTCTGTCAGAAAATTTTTGACAAGCTCTAATTAAGGGCTACACTGTTGCTGCCCTGAATGAGTGTGCAAGGTGGTAGGGGAACAAGTTCATCCTTTTATGGACCCACATAGGAGGCAGTTTCAGATCTTGTGATCCTTGAGCCACATCCAAGTGCCCCAGCCCTGTCTTGGGGGTGTAACACCTACTTTGCTGAGATGGTCAACAATGGTGTTTGTTGTGAAGGTGGTAGACACTTGTCTTCTAGGAAGTGAACTGAGACCACCAACATTTTTTCAGTGCACAGTAAGCTATTGGGTGAGCTAGCTTGGTAAATGACCCAGAGAGCTCCTTCCCTGCAGTATGAGGAAGCGTCCAGAGAGGAAGCAGCCATTAATTGTCTCCCAGCACTCCAGTTTGCATAGGGATAGGGCAATGGGCCTGGCTAGCTCTGCCAGCAGCTTTTACTGGGTTAGAGGAAGTTTGTCTAGGTGCAGTGGGGCATGGAACAGGCATAACACCTCCAGGCACCACCTACCCTCATCAGTCTCCTTAGTGTGGCTCTGAATTTAAGAAGCATAATCTAGAACGTTTTCATGGCAACTAGTCTGGACATTCCTGGCCATCAATTCTAGCCCAGGGGTAGAAGAACACTAAGTCACTTGGGAGCTTAAGTCCCATTTGCAAGAGTGACTTAGGAGCCTAAATCTTAATAAAAGTCTTTTGAAAATGAGACAGACTCCTAAATCACTTAGTCCACATTGAAAATTTTATCCCATGTCTTATTTAAAAAAACCCAAAAACATTGCCGTACATGCATCAGATAAAGATGTTGAAAAATGAATTGGAAAATGACAGATGTATGGTCTAAACTGGAAATCGTGTCAATCTTAAACAGTTAGTTGGCTTACATTGGGCAGATGCAAGGTAAAGGCAGTCTTCAGAATGAGTTGTAACTCATGAGCTATTGCTCTGAAAATATATTGAAGAATAAGAATGACACAAATTTCAGTTATGGACGTTGTATGTTGGTGAGCATGTTGGTCTTGATTAATACTCATAAACTTCCATTATTTGCTCAGTACTTTAAGTTAGTAGTAATGGGCAACAATGTTGGTAGAATAAAGTCATTCTCTAAATTTTATTCTGTGGTTTAAAATTAGAGGTGGGTGAACTGGCTCTGGTAAATTAAATACTGAGGCTGAACCTAAGCACAACACTCAAGATGAACGTGAACCTTTGAGACTCTACAAAGTTCAATGACCTGTTGACTTACATTTTTCAATATTACTTTTCACCTCTCCTTACTTCCTGGTTTTATCTGGGACCAGATGCAGAATTGCCAATATTCTGTGAATGAAGCTGTTCATGTGGGCTTTCTGGCCCAAATGAAACCAGGAATTCCTAGAAATTCTGCAAGATTTCCAACCCCAATTGCCAGACCAAAGCAGTTGGGATAAGTCTGCATAATTATAGGAACCAAACTTCCAAACATTTTGCTGTTTGCCCATTGCCTTGTCAGCCACACTGCAATATGGAGCAAATGGAGTTAATGGTCTCAATTGGATTCTAATGCCTCTTTCTGCTTTTCTTCAGAGCTTTGTCATCTGTGGTGGCTTTAGGAGCAAATATAATCTGCAACAAAATCCCAGGCTTGGCCCCTCGGCAACGAGCGATCTGCCAGAGCCGCCCTGATGCCATCATAGTGATCGGAGAAGGGGCACAGATGGGAATCAATGAATGCCAATATCAGTTCCGCTATGGTAGGTGGAACTGCTCAGCGCTGGGAGAGAAAACAGTCTTTGGACAAGAGCTTCGAGTAGGTAAGGGATTCTTTAAAATAGTGTTAATAATAATAAATTGGGACTGCTCGCCTTTTGGCTCTCCCCTTGCAGTGCTTTAGTGATGTAATGCTATAAGGCATTTACACGCCACACAAAATAAACCAACGCACCCTCCAGAACAACAGGGGCACTTTTTCTGATCTTATCTAACCCTATTTTTAGTAATTGAAAACATCTAGAGATTTCTAGGTTGTGTCTTTCATTATTCATACCAATCCACACATGAAAATGACTAGAATATTCTGTAGGGGCAGCAGTCACCTGCGTCAATTTCATCCCATAATTTCATAACAAATTTGTAGGCATTTAGGACTTCAGGATTGTTACTGTGCTGCACACTCTGACGAGTCAGAATTCCACAGTCATGCTGGGAATGGAACTGAAATCAGCTCCAAAAACACAGACCCCAACAGCAATAGGAGAATCTCAATTAGCTGTTAGCAATACATTGCCTATGATACCCAGCTGACCATCCAGTACAGAGAAGTGACACAAAAATATTCTACTCAGATTTTTATCATGTGAAGATGACGCTACAAATTATCTGAAGTGAAAAACATTAAAAAAAAAACTTGGTATATAGGACCATGGCCTAACAAACTCTTACAGGATAGTCAGTATCATGTGTTATCACTTTCCACCAATTCTATGTGTGATATTATTTCATGAGGAGAGATCTTACAAAATAACTGCCTATATCTCCAACATTGACATTGTCACTGTCATCTGGTCAGATATCTTTCCCTTTATCTGTCCCTCAAAAGCTGCCCTAGCACCATCAATTGCACAGTTTGTTGTTTACATGCAAGTGTATGGGTTTGTTGTATCTGGTTATCACAATGTTGCATTGAATCAATGTGCTAGAAAGAAAGCATATAGTCCCACACGTCCCTGAAAATACTACAGTCCCCTTCCTTTGTGTAGCTGTAATATATCTTCCCTGGGTCAAATTCTGATCTCGGTGATATCTGTGCTTGATTTTAATAACGGTAGTCAGTCACATAGGGGAACCAAAAGTCGAATTTGGCCTGTGGTGTTCAATCAGTGATTTTTGTAACACTGTGAAAGAATGACATATCTTTATTCACTGCCCATGTGAGGAATGAAGGGTTCATATGTAGGGTGACCAGATGTTCTGATTTTATAGGAACAGTCCCGATATTCGGGGCTTTTTCTTATATAGGCACCTATTACGCCCCACCTCCTGTCCTGATTTTACACATTTGCTATCTGGTCATCCTACTCAGCTGGTGCTTGGGTTGTCTTGCGGGAGGAAGGCCTTCCCTCTAACACTAGTGAGGAGTGAATCTCAAAAAGCTGATGTTTGGTTCAAACAAGCATTGATCTGAATGTTCACCCAACAATTATGCAAAGCCTTTGAGTTTGACGCTGGGCTGAAAATCTCATGGGCACGATGGGCCATTTCCCAAACTGCTGTAAGCCAGTATAACTCCACTGACTTTAGTGGAGCAGATTTATACCAGCTCATTGTGTCTTGACACTTCCACGTCACACAAAAACACAGACGTGCAGAAGAGTGCAAAAACGGAAACAAATGGGAGAAAATATTATCTGAACTTTTCTGGAGCTCAGAAAAGGTTTCGCTGCATTTGAGTTTGGCTAGGGGAAGGTCAGGGGTGAAGAGGTATTGCTATATCTGAACTCGTTCACTCATCCTATCCAAGAATTTTAGCATTCATGTAATCTCACTTGTCAGTGTTTCTTTCTACACTTGTACTAAGATATTTCTACGTTCATCCTGAGAAAAGTTTTTCTCTTTTAGTCCCTTTTACACCTGTAGCAATTTTCTGGTCATGCAAAATGGCTATAATTTTGTTGGATACCGGCATAATCTTTCATTTCTCTCACTGTTGCACAAAAAGAAGGGCTCCAGAAGGGGAAAGAGGTTGACAATCCTCAAACTAGCAAAACTCCAAGTGATGGGGGTAATTTGAGTTTTATTCTTAACATTAATTGCATCAGAATGACATCAAGCCACCTAATTACACAGACACTTCCTTGCTGCTGCCTACTGGGAAGAGAGAAATGCCTGAACCTCTTCAAGTGCTAGTGGTTTGGGGGATTTAATGTTTAAGGGGAAGCTTTTCTGCTATCTCACTGACATCTGTTGTTCAATGGTGAAATCTTGATACACTGTTGATAGTGTGAAGCTGCCTGTGACTCCACACCTGTAGAATTTCTTCGGTATAAATTCTATTTTATTTATTAGATTCGGTGCATCCCAATAGGGCTAGCAAGAGAACTGGCGAGGTTTAAATAGGTAAGCACACTTGAAACACTGAGCAAGCTTTATTGAGTATATTAGAGAGAACATCCTGATAGGGATGGACATTCCAAAAATTTAGCATAAATAGAACCAGATTGGGAGACTGAATGCTGACTATATGAACACACATTATTACAACCTGAAACAAGGACAGCACTGAATAAGAAGAACAAGCAAAGTACACAATTGGGCAAAGAGTTCACAAAAAACTTATCAGCCTCTTTTTTTTTTCCTGCTCACATAGTCATATTTTGCTTACCCTTTGCCAAGCCAGAAGCAGTAGGAGTCAGACTATCCATGCCAACATGTGTTAACCTAATTCCTTTGTTCTGGCTGAACCAGGAGTATCTGGTTGTTGAGCCCTATCAATCTATTTACTTGTGCTTTGGAACTTAAACTGGGGTGTGAACATGTGATGGTTTTGCAACTTGGGGCTTGAATTAAGAAATTAATGGTAATAGTGCACATAGGGGCAGCTGCAGCATTCAGAAGCCGAAACTGATAAAGCCCTGAGGGTTCCCAATTTATCAACCCTCCCCACCCTCTGCCATGGCAGCTGCTGTTGCTCAATATAGATTTCCTAGAAATGTATATGTGCCAAGTATAATAAGTGCTGCACTGAAGTACGTATTCAGGCAGTCAGCCTGACTGGAAGTCCATTCTGACACACCTTCACTGCTATTGTTACCAGAGCTAGCTAGGTTAAAGCTAGCTTAAAGCTAACTTGGGTACATCTAAGGTTCTGCAATCACACCTCTGATTGCAGTGTGGGCATACCCTGGGTAAGATCCTTCAACACTCCCTTCCTGCCAGTTGGCTCATACTGCAGCTATTCCTAGTCCATATGTCCCTGCCCAGCTCAGTTTCAGACCAACACAGGTTGGGGTAGAGAAAAGCATTCCCCCCTTGATGGGGATGGGATAGGGAGGTAGTTCAATGGGAAGGAGAAAAGGAGAAAAGATGATAGAATATTAGGTCATCTACCTTGATTTGGGGTTGAAAATCATGGGCCCTTATCCCCTGCTTAGAGGGAGAATATTGTAGATGGCCCTTGTTTGCAGAGTTTGTGGCAGATAGTGTGTGTGTGTATGTATGTATGTATGGAAAAGTAGGCATATATGAGGCACAATGTATCTATCTATCTATACACACACACACACACACACGTGTGGCAGAGTAGTATGCATGCATGCCTGACGGAGTGTGGAGGTATATATGTTGCAAGGCATGTGTGTGTTGTGTGGCAAAGTGTGGGTATAAATGAGTGGTAACATGAATGGAAAGGCATTAGCGATAGAATGGACTAGAGGAGTGTTATTCAGAGACTGAGGAAGTCAAGAAAGAAATGGGGAGATTGGGGTGGGGCACAGAGATAAAGAATGAAGGAGGGCAGTGAATAGGGAAAAGGAGAGACTGAAGAAGGAATGAGCGAGAGGAAGATTAAGAGAATAGAGGGAGGAAAGGGAAACTGAAAAAACATGGAGAAAGAGGGAGAGAACAGAGAAATCATAAATGGAGCATGAAAGCGAAGAGATGGAATAACTTGTAGCTGAAGCATTAGAATGAAGACAGAACAATGAAAGGGGAGGAAGGGGCACACACAGATGTACAATAAAAGTAAAAGCAAGAAGAAAAAATCTGAAAATGGCTTAAGAAGGCTCCAGAGGTGATCCAGGGAATTATAAAATGGTAAGCCTTACATCTGAAGCTGGTAAATTAGTTGAAATAATAATTACAAACAGAATAACAAAACACCTGGAAATTCATGATACCATAGGGTTTAACCGGCATGGAAAAGGAAACTTGTGACTCACAAATTGCTTAGAATTCTTTGAATCTATTCATAAAATGGTGAATAGAGGAGAAGAGGTTGACTATTTAGGTGGGTGAAGTAATATCTTTTATTGTACCAACTTCTGTTGGTGAGAGAGACATGCTTTCAAGCTCCACAGAGCTCTTCTTCACCCACCTTGTCTCTCTCCTATCCTGGGACCAACACATCTAAATAAATTGTTTGTAGTGTTGTTGTAGACTTTGCAAAGGTCTTTGACAAGGTTCCACACAAGAGGCTACTAAAGAAACTAAGTAGTCATGAGGTGAGAGGCAAAGTATTGCCATGGAGCAAAAACTAGCCAACACACGAAAGCAAAGAGGCGGATTAAATGGTCAATTTTTATCATGGCAAAATGTTAACAGTGGACGTGCCTCAAGGTTCCATACTAGGTCCCATGTTGTTTAATATATTTATTGATCATTTGGAAAGGGTGCGAGTAGTGAGGTAGCAAAATGTGAAGATGACACAAAGTTATTTAGGTTAGTCAGGGCCAGACAAGAATACGAGGAGCTTCATAGAAATCTAAACAAGCAAGATGAATGGGCAACTTGATGGCAAATGAAATTCAATGTCAATAAATGCAAAGTAATGCACATTGGAAGGAAAAATTCAAACTACTCATACACCTTTAAGAAAGGAACGTGGGTGTTACTGTAGACATCTTAACAAAGACCTTGGCTGAAGTGCTGCTGGAGGCAAAAAAGGCAAAGATGGTGCTAGGATGCCGAAGGAATGGGATGGTGAATAATATGGAAAACATAATGCCTTTCTATAAATCAATGGTGCAGTCTCAGTACTGTGTGTGCAATACAGGTTACCCCATCTCAAAAAGGGATATTGCAGAACTAGAGGGGATTT